CTGTTCCCATCCCCCAATTACCCAATAAAAATCTTAAAAAAAAAAAAATCACATTTTAACTTGAGAATAACTCTTAGGATATATTTACAAAATTCTGTATAGGTCTAAATGGTATCTCTTCAAAGAGACTATTCCACTATTTCAGAACAAAGAACAGGAACAGTGACTCAGTTTCCATAAGGTTCTTACCTGTATAATGCATCATCAATCTCCACAGATTCTGTTGACATGATGGGCAAATTTTTATTTGTACTGAAAAAATAAAACATAATTTATAAGGGCAAGTATGGTTATTCAATATTCACATCCTGTAATGTAACATTCAATTATACATGGGATCAGATTCACTAGTTACTAAAGGAGGTTTTACAAACCAGATACACATTTTATTATCTACTTTACTAGAATTTTAAAAATAGGTCAAAATTAAATTCAGATTGCCTATGCCTTCTGTGTATACAGTAAAATTACAGCCCATGGTTATTTTTTCAGGTGTTGTTTTATCATTGTTACATATATTCTGATAAATCTATATTTTAACAATTTTGTTGGAGTGCCCCATAAACCTTCTCTAATATACAGTATTCCTAATCTCAGTCCCTGAAATTTACCAATATACTGATGATATCTAAACTTATTATTCCATGTTTGATCTCTCTTCTAACCTCCAGATTTTACACATCTGCCAGAACACTATCACTATTCTGATGTTCAGTTAGTATCAAAAAACAGAATTCAGTTTCCCCTGCTTAATCTCTTCTTTCACAGTCTCTCACAATTCAGTTTCTGATACTACCATTTACTTGCTCAGGCCAAAACATCTAGGGATCTTAACTTTTCCTCTCATTTTCTCCATCTTTGAGTCCTGTTAGCTCTTCAAAAGAGATCTCAAATCTAATCACTTCTCACTATTTCAATCAGTATAATCTAAGGCCAAACCATTATATTTCACCTGCGGTATTTTCTTCAAATCACTTATCATTAACTGTGTATTAACTGTCTGCTTTCCCATATAGAATGTATGATCCATTAAGAATTCACTACTGTAAAAAAAAAAATCACTACTGTATTCCAAATACCTAAAACAGTATCTAAGATTTAATAAGTTAACACTGTGCCCATATTGTGTTAAGTGCTTTAGATGTTCTAACTCAGTTAACCCTTACAACAAGTTTATGANACATATTCCCTGAAAGATACAAACTATCAAAGCTCACTCAAGAGGAAATATATTATATAAATATCTCTATATCTATTAGATGTTGATTTTGTAGTAAAAAAACTTTCCAACAAAGAAAACTCCAAAGACAGATAGCTTCACTGTGAATTCTAACAAAAACTTAAAGAAATAATACCAAACCCAGACAAAACCAATAAAAAAATACTCCACACTTCACAAAGATGCAAAAATTATTAACAGAATTTATATATACATATAAATGTATAAAAAATCATGACCAAATAGGTTTTATCCTATAAAATGCAAAGGTGGTATAATATTCTAAAAGTCATCATTGTAATTCATTACATTAAAAGACTAAAGAAAAACCATATGATCACCTCAATGAATGCAGAAAAAGTGTTTGACAACCTGACATTCATTTTGATTTAAAACAACAACAAAACTAATAATAGAAGGGTACCTCCTCAAGCTAATGAAGAGTTTCTATGAAAAGCCTACAGCTAAGATCATACTTCACCATGGAAAAATGGCTGTTTTCTGCCAATGATGAGGAAATACATGCTGCTGTCCACATTCACTACTTCCATTCAATACTGTATTATAAGTTCCAGCCAGTGGAGTAAGGCAACACAAAGAAATAAAAGGCATCCAGACTGGAAAACAGGGAGTAAACCTTCATTATTTTCAAACAACGTGACTAGAAAATCCTATGGAATTTACAAAAAAATTTATTAGAATAAGCGAGTTTAGCAAGATTGCAGGATAAGAAATAAATATGCAAAAATCAACTGTGCTCCAATTTAAAAGTAATGAATAATTGGAAATTGAAATTTAAAAATTACCATTTACAATAGTATGAAAAGATAGAAATACTTAGGGGTAAATCTGATAACAGTTGTCCAAGATCTAGGATAGACAAAAGAAGTAAATTGACACACACACCACGTTAATGGATCTTAAAATTCAATATTGTTAAAATGTCAATATTCCCAAAATTGAACTATAATCAGCACAATTTCAAACAAAATATTAGGCAGATTTTGTTTTTTCTAAAGAATCAACAAGCTGATTCTAAAATGTTTGTGGAAATTCAAAGGACCTAGAAGAGAAGAGTCAAACCAACTATGTCGAAGCAGATCAAAGTTGGAAGAATTATACTCCCAAATTCCAAGATTTCAAATAAAGCTATAGTGTGGGTGGGACTGGTGTAAAGAGAGACATATAGATCACTGAAATAGAAGATTCCAGAAATAAAGCCACAGATAGTCTATTGAATTCTGTCAAAGAAACCCAGGAAATTCAATGGGGATGGATAATTTTAAACAAACGATGGTGAAACATTGGAGAGCTATATGGAAAAAAATAAACCTTGGCCCTTACCTCACATCATATATGAAAATTAACTTGAAATGGATCATAGACCTAAATTTAAGGGTTAATACTATGGAACTTCAAGAAGATAACAACAGAGAAAATGTTAAGAGTCCTTGAGTTTCGCAAACATTTTTTAAATAGTACAAAACAGTATGAATTATATATAAAATATTGTATCTTAGCAAAATTTAAAATTTTGTTCTGCAAAAGACATTGTTATAAAATAAGTCCAGCCACAAATTAGGAGAAAACATTTGTAATCTTATATAACAAAGAATATGTATACAGAGTACATAAAGAACTCAATAAGACAAACAATCTAACAAAAAAAAAGAAAGGCAAAAGGTTTATAGAGACATTTCATCAAAAAAGAGAGATGACAAATAGGCTCATGAAACGATGCTTAGGACCATTATTCATTAGGGAAATGCAAATTAAAACCACAATGTAATATCACTATACACAAACTCAAATGCCTAAACTTAAAATGAGTGACCATACTAGGTACTGAGTGTACATGTGGGGCATTAAAACCCTAATACACTACTAGTGGGAATGTAAAATGGTGCAACCACTTTGAAAAACATTTTGGAGTTCTTTAAAAGTTAAAAATACACCTACCATATAACACAAGCATTCATTTCTAGATATTTATCCAAGAGAGTCAATGAAAGCAAATGTCTACCCTAAAATGTGTATATAAATTCTCATGGCAGGCTTATTTGTAATAGCTAAAACCTGGAAAAAAAACAAATATCCATCAACACTTAACAGTTAAATAAACTGTAGTATATCCATATAATAGAATACAACTCAGCAATAAAAAGGAACAAATTGCTGATACAACAATATACGTGTAGATAAATCATTTCAAAATCACTGAGTGAAAAAAGCCATACCCCTCCAAAACTGCACATGCTATATGATTCCATTTACATAAAATTATGGAAAATTAAAACGATTCTACAATGATAAAATGCAGATTGGTGGCTTGGGGAAATAGTAGCTGGAGAGAGAAGAGAGGAAAGGATTACAAAGGGGCACAAAGAAAATGTCTGGGTGTGATGGGTATGTTCATGACCTAAATTGTGGTGATGATATCATGAATATATACACATGTGAAAACACATAAACTGTACACATTAAATATGTACAGTTTACTATATCAATTATACCTCAATAAAATTGCAAAAGAATATCTATTCTGTTGGGAGACACTCCTTCATGGGTCTTTGACACACCACCAGGTCTCTTTAGATATGCCTAGCGAGGAAGGTCCTGACCGCTCTTTACTCGGGTGTTTTCTCAGAGTTGTGTTTGTAGCACATAACCATGAGGGATGAGGTGAGTCTGTTTCCAAGACAAATAGCAAGCTTGCTTACTGCTTGCCATAAAATGGTGGGTCCCCCAAATTCAGTGTTCCTCAGCTGTGATGTAAATGTGCTATGTACTCGTACAAAGCATCCATCATGGCTCAGGGCATCGTCCCCATGAGACTTGCTGATGTCCACACTACATGCTATATAATAAATTTTTTGTCTCTGAAACCTAGAATTTTCACATATTCTGTCTTAATCCACTAGACAATAATAGCCTAGCATTAAACTTATAAGTAGGGTAAAATCAAATCCCTAACAATATGTATGTCAAGTTTGACAAGGCTAAAAAATATGATGCTGGAGTGTAAACCGGTGAGGAGTGACAGGAAAGCTAAAAAGACAGATATGGCCGTAATACATGGTAAATAATAACTAGAAATTATCGAGCTCTTAGGCTCTTTTCTTTATGATTTACAATTTGTATACATTTTTCTCATTATTTCTTGAATAAATTATGAAAAAAATGAAGGAATATAAAGGTTAGACTCAAGAGGTTAAGTAACGATTAAAATCACACTCATAAACAGTGGAGGATGATTCAAATTCAGATCTCATACCAAAGTTTATATGCTCAGCCACTATGTTATGCTGTATTCGAAAGGGNCTGTTTTGGAACTTTATATAAATGGGATCATTTTGAATGTCTTTTTCTGCGTCTTGCTTCTTTTGAATGAAATTATATTTATGAGATTTATTCATATCAATGCATGTAGCTGTTCATTAATTTTCATATCTGCTACCATTCTGTTGTAATAAAGATACCATTAATTTAGATATTCTGTAGTTTTGAACAGTTGCCAATAATTAGTCTATGAGCATTCTTATGTCTCCTGGTATACATGTATAGTAGTTTCTACATCTAAAAGAGGAAACTCAGGGTTAACTTTATTAGACAATGCCAAACTGTTTTCCAAAGTAGATGTACCAATTTACTTTCCCCTTCTGGCAGTATATCAAAGTCCCTGTGTAGTTTCATATTCTTAATGTGCAGGAAAAAGTTAACACATAGGGCCTGAACTTTAGCCTGCTTACACTAGCTCTCGGCTGGTGTCTGTGAACTTGGTTGGCCTTTGAAACGTTTCCTATGCTAATAAATTCTACCATTTTCTATTTCCCTAGTTTCCTGAAATAAAAACATTAATTTTCTAGTTTTCTTTTCTAAAATACATGTATAAAAATTTAACTGATCTGAAATAGCATCCTAAATTTCAATATAGTACTTTCATTATTATTTTCCAATTTTAATTATGATTCCTTTTTGACTTATGGGTTAATCTGAAGTATAAACACACACACACACACACACACTGTGTGTGTGTGTGTGTGTGTGTGTGTGTGTGTGTGTTTAAAGATTTTAAAGGGGAATTGGAACAGAGTTGGGTAATTGGGGAAGGAGAACAGCCAAGTTGCTGTCCTTCAGTCTTAGTTGTGGAGGGAACAGCTAGCTCAGCTCCAAGTCCAGTCGCCATCCGGCCGCCTGTCGGCAAATCGAAGCCACTCAGCTCAAGGTGCTGTGTTCAATCTTAGTTGTGGGGGGCGTAGCCCACCATCCTATGTGGGAGTCGAACCAGCAACCATGTTGTTAGGAGCATGTGCTCTCACCAGCTGAGCCATCCTGCCACCTGTTGGCCACTCAGCTTGGGTGCAGCTCACTGGCCCTTGTGGGAATCGAACCGGTGACCCTGTTGCTCAGAGCTCATACGCTCAACCAACTAAGACACTCGGCTGGCCCTGAAGTATATTTTTAAATTTCTAATTTTACGGGGAATTTTCTAGTTATAGTTTGTGTTGATTTATAGATTAAACACACTGTGAATATTCATCCCAATCTATATGATTTCAGAGTATTTCTTTGGTTAATTTTACAAATGTTCCATGTGTTCTTGAAAAAAATGAGTCCTCTATAGTTGTTAGAAAAAACATCTTTATGTATGCTTTGGTTTAATTTTAACAGTCATGAGGATGAAATCTATACCTGTTGATTTTTTTTGTCTACTTGTTCTCTTGATTTATAAAAGCAACATTTGAAAAATCCCCCACTATGATTGTATATTTTTTTATTCTCTCCTCGTATATAAGTACCTGAATAGTGCTGATATGTACAAATAACAGCTATCACTTACTAAATGTTTATTATGTACCACAGATTGTCTTAGTGTTTTACTTGTATTAACTCATTTAATCCTCATAAAAATTCTCATAGAAGTTTTAAACTATTATTATTCCCATTTTTACAGAGAGGAAAACTTAAGTACAGGGAAATTAAGTAACTTATAAATATTGGCGGCAAGATTCAACCCAGGTAGTCTAGTCTTAGCAACCATACTCGTAACCACTATGCTACACTGCACACAGATGACAAAAAAATCAAATCACTC